TTAATTCAATATTACAATCCTTCTATATTATTAGCTGAAGCTTACAGCACTTTTTCACCCGAGTTCACTACAGAAGGCGGTGTTCGACAGGGTTGTCTTCTCTCTCTCTCTCCCTTTCCAGTTAATTTTGTTATAGATCTGATCATGGAAACAGTCCTATCCTCGTGCGGGGATAGCAGAATCGATTTACTTCCAGATGGCAGACTATCTTGTCTAGAGTAGGCAATCGACATTGTGCTGCTAAGTAAAGATTCTGGTAAGTTTCAAGCTTTTCTGGATAGTTTGAGTGCTAGTGTAGCCATATTCGGTATGCGCTTTGCACCTTCAAAGTGTAAAATGCTGCTCCAAAATTGGGTTGGCCCAGCCCCCAGCCTCACCCTGACTGGGGAAGTAATGGATCAGGTTGATAAGTTTTGTTATTTGGGCAGCTACATCTCACCCGGTGGACGCATCGCGGATGAAGTGTCAGCGCGCATACAAAAGTCTCGGTTGGTACTTGCTAACTTGAGACATCTGTGGCGCCGTCGCGACATCCGGCTGTCTGTGAAGGGTTGAGTATATGCTGCAGCAGTTCGGCCAGTTCTTCTTTACAGCGCAGAGACTTGGCCATTATGGGAACAGGATAAAAATAAATTGTCGGTGTTCGAACACCGCTATCTACGTAGCATTGCGCGACTGCAATGGGGAAACTGAGTGAGCAGTGCTGAGGTTAGACATAGAGTTTTAGGTAATCGGGGTCGTCCACTGGAGCAAATGGTCGACCTTAGAAAATTACGCTGGTTGGGACATGTGCTGCGCATGTCACCAGATACGTTATCACGGCTAGCGATCTTTTCCGAGGCAGGTAGCGGTTGGAAAAAAATGAAGGGCGGTCAAGCTAAGACCTGGCATGAGGGTATGAAAACCCTAACCAGGAGACTGGCTCATATAGATCCCGGTATTCACCCTGGACGAGACCCTGAGATCATAGTCACCGGCGATTAGANGGAAAAAAACAAAGGGCGTTCAAGCTAAGACCCGGCATGAGGGTATGAAAACCCGGAGACTTGCTCACATAGGTCCCGTTAGGCTTTCTAGATGGGGACGCAGAGATCATCGTCACCGGTAGTTAGAGAAACAGTGATATGACTGGGTGTCGCAAACAGTGGCGCACATCCATCTACTCATTATTCTTGTAACTTCAATCTATGAAAATGTGCTACCTTTCGCTTAAATCTGCTCCCAACATTATAATCATCATTCTGCTGATTTACCCAAATGCGCAACCAAGACAGCAACCGAAATCGGTGCACGAAAGTGCATCGTTAATGGTTGTAGGAACTGAACTGATTCAGACTGAAAATAAAACAATCGTGGACACTCATGACTATAACCACCCACGCATGGTGACCTGAGGCTAATTCGGTATCAATTTTAATCTTATGGAGATTATCATAGGCGAATCATAAACTTAAATACTCGATGTAAGCCGGGGTTGGGGCTTCCGTGAAGACATCTCGACTTCGAACAGAGCAAGACCAAGTTCTGTTAGCTTAATCGTTAATCTTCTGAGAACAGGACCGAACCACGGCAGACGAATTCGTTGCAGGCATGCGCGGAAACCTGTTGTGTTAACACATAATTGTTCTGTGATAAATTCTATTTGCTGCTCGCGTTCAGGTTGTTTCAAATCGTTAACCCTCAAGATCGATGAATAAACGATGACCATGTAAAGACCCGTTGTCCTTCATCATGAATATTTAACAACCATTTTTTCCAAACGGACTGATGACATTACAAAGCGTTTGGTTAAAGACTGACCTTGGGATTCAAGCAGCGCATCAAGAAAGTGAAACTATAACCATAAGTGGTCAACTATAGATAGGTTTAGATGGATAGCTAAATAGGGATGGAAGGATCGAGAAATAAAGAAAAATGATCACTGCAGAAACTAAACACTGATACTATGCCAAGCTGTGAATCAATTCATCAGTTTATAGACGCCATAAATGTTCTAGAAAACTGCGCAATCGTCCGGCTAGACACCGCATCCATTTCATGCGGGTCTTAAGTGGTTCACTACCCCAAAATCCATCAATTAGATAATTGGATATCATCTATTGAATTGTAGGCTCTAATGACCTACTCCCAGGAACATTCATCATACGATGTGTGATAATGACAATTCAGACATGAAAACACCTCGAAACTGAAACCAAGACCGCTTTTTCGTAACGTGTTGATTGATTGGACTTACTGCCACAACGTTCGGTTGACTCACTGACGTGGACGGACGAAAGGATTTTGTGGTCGGATTCGTTTCGACCAAGTGGGTTATCAGGGCAGTTAGAGTTTGAGCAGCAAATCCGTTGATCGAGGCAGTGGAAGATTGGCTAATTGCCTGTCCTGGAGAAACTTGTTCAAATCCTTTGGGATGAGCAATTTCATAATGGCTTTCAGAACGCAGTGCATTGTGAGTGCTTGTGGAATTAGGGTGCACATCGTCTCTGATGGGGACGCATGTCGCACTGAGCTTCTGCGGTTGAGAATGTTCCGTCTGATTGGGTTGACTTCGTCGACGTACTCGTGATCGAGGATAGGAAGCCGTATTGTTGAACCGTACTTCTTGTTCACAGCGTACCGTGTTCTCAGCGAAAAATTCCGCAGCCACCGGGGGTTGATGCGTATGTACCGCTCGGATGTGTTCCACCCGGTCGGAGACGGTAACCGCCGTAGCCTTACATTCACGACGCGAGCATCGCCAAAACACACGATCACCCATACCATCGCGGGATTTGGTGAACTTATAGCCATCAATAACCAGACTACGCTCACCTAGAATGAGAAACCGATTGACAGGTAAAATAAGTTGCAATGGTAGTATTGGGTCAATAACTTTCACCCATTCAAAATTAAACTATAGTGGATAAATAACTGAGTTATTCCACATCAGTCAAGTAGCTTGTTCTCACCAATGAAACAAAAGAACCATTTATCAATAGTTAAAGTGAAACTCGTGAGAGCGGAATAAACATTCAATCGGTCGTACAGTAAAGAATATTTGTGATTAAGGAAAATTTCATTTCATTACATGAACCAGCGTGATGTAGTGCTGAACTCCAGTCCCGATAAACTAGTTATCAATTATGTGCATCAGTAGCCAGACTACTAGTATCGATCCAGATGGAAGCGAAGTTGTTGATGGCGGTGCACACTTGTGAGAGCAATCCGTACCATCTAAGTACTAGCAGAATGTAATTTTTTACTTCTTTTTTATTGGATACGTAAAGATACAATCTTCAGGAAAGAGGAAGCGGCCTATCAAAAGGCTGCCATACAACAGACAATGAGGCAAGTCAGGTGTTGGTGTGATTTGAACCCGTCCTCCGGATTGATCATTTGGTGACGTTACCACCGGAGCCACCATCGCCTGGAGTTCAATGCTGAAAGCAGTGTCGAGATGAAAATAGCGAATTCTGATTGACTACGGTTGCATAGATTGCAATGCAAAATCGCAGAACAAAAACCGAGACAAACGACTACAGTTTAGGAAAAGCAGTCAAATGAAATATACGTAAAAACCGTAATAGTTGTAATCTTTTTGGAGTTCCGTGCCTGAGAAACTCCGAAGGTTTTTCTGGCCGACGATGCGCGCATTATTTCAAGAGTGACTTTGCTTGTTTAATGGTAGGATCGCTGGGAACGAAGAAAATGGATGCTAAAATCTGAGGTGAATCCGGAAAGGATTCTTTAATTTGTTTGATGCAATAATAGTTTCCCGTTAAGTGCAACAAAAAATGAGGTATCGACTGGAAAACGCACTAATTGAAAGATAATCTGACTGGGTATGGTTAGTTTAGTTAAGATACGCTCACGATTTACCAATAGCTGAAACCAAGTAGTGCAATGATTCACTTAAATTCGTGTTTGGCAGTGTGCTAGTTCATTTGATGTTTACAGAGTTAGTTAGCGGAAGGCCGCTGAGGTTACTCATATTCTCGCGTAGTAATGCAGTTATCTTGTAACTTCGGCGCACGGATCTCGGCTTCCATCTTGAATATTTTCCGGTCGAGTGGTGAATGTGTAACTCACAAGTCTGAATCCAAACTGTGTCAAACAAATCATAGTACAACAGTCCATATTAGAAAGAGAAAGTTCCATGATTTGTTTATTGGTGGAATACTGTCAGATCGCCCAGGCCAAAGCAGGTGAATTTTCTTGAGGAATTCACAACCGGGCTTCCTCAGTAGAGGCTATTTCCGACGCTTGGTGGCGAGTCCCAACAAAGACTAAATAGTCAACAAGTGGCCTTTTCCGGTCAATACCCAAACTTTCTACCAAGACGTGAACACTGTGATTACATCAAAAATAAACGATTGTGCTGCAAAGAGGCCTAAAGTTTACGTCACCTGTGCATAACAATTGTGGTAATATCAAGGGATATAGCTTCACATGGACACGCGTTAGGCCGCAGGATTTAATTTCCTTTAACAAACGTTCGGCAATTCCCAAAGAGTAAGTACAATCCCAATGTGGTAGATATTATTTATGCACTGTATTGTTAATCACGGACTTCTAAAATCTTTTGAAATACTTGGTTGCCGGGAGGTAAAAAGGCTTATGCAACAAACGAAAGAAACTCGATTCTATTCAAGGTAATTGTTGCATATTACCGTTAGAAACGAAGGTGTAACATAAACGAAAAGAAACGATGACCCACAAACCGCGCTTCACATCCGCCAAGAGTTAGCTGTAAACCACATAAAAATCGGGTAACTCAGCAAACGAGCTAATCAAATAATCGCGAATGCCAACGGTTAGAAAACGAATTTTTCAAGGTATATCAAAGATAAAATGTCCAAAACCCTTAGAATATTGGAATGGCTAGGTCGATCAATCACTATACTGCCAAAATACATTTTCTAGTTTCCAAATACGATTGCACTCGTGGAACATCCAACATATTTTATGTAATCTAATTTGCCCCCTAGAATATGATCTTTATACCAGACCGGAATATACTGTTATAAATAATGGTATATGGTATGATATAAGTTAAGGCTCGAGGAACCGCTATTTTGATGGGCGGGTGGGGGACGAAAGTGACTATAAAAATCTCGCCAAAGAAACAATTCGTAAGACTTACAATTTCTCTCGATTGGGTTTCACTAATGAGAACAAAGACTGATTTTTCGAAACATTTCGGAACGTTTGAACTAAGGAACCAGGTGACAAACAAAACCGAGGGCATTCAAGCTAGTTTGAACCAGGGGTCGCGTGAAAAATACTGTGGAGATTTTTCCTTCAAATAATCAACTTCTTGTAGTCTGACGCTTGTCATATGTGAGAATTTTGAAAAGAACATACAAGTTTACCAATATTTTCTGGAAATGACAAAAGTTTCCCAATCAGTGCCAAATATCTCATTACATTAATCCGAACACTGATTAGACCGTTTTTTTTGCAGCTCAACAAATACATAAATCACGGTGAAAATGCAACCAACAGAAACGGATCGGAAACAAAGAAATATAACTACATGGTTTAGCACATATTGTGCCTCTCTATTAGTAACACAAATCATTGTGACTAAAGGTAAATAACCTATGAATGTGACAATATGACAGAAGTTTCCACCTCAACATACTACAGGCACAGTGGTTGCAGACAAAAAACTGCTTCTCCAACTTACCTTTACGAGTGACATCAAATCCAACATGCACTTTAACTAAATTCCATTTTTTCTCGCCATTTTTTGCTGTACTCGGGGAAAAGTTCGCAGGTGGAGGTGAATATCCCGAGGATGTAACAACCAACATTGCCGGATTCAACTGATTCTCCAACCGACCCAAACCGTGATCGACGAGTTCGTCCGACAATCCTGGACTCACAGCGTTGCACAGATTCTCGTCTAACTCCTCGGTCGATACACCATCAGTGACTGAGTCCGGTGTGATCGCCTCGACCATAGTGGTGTTACAGTTCAGTGCACGATGAGGAGAATATAGCTGTGTGGCGGACTGCATCGTCGAAAAAGAACCGCTTGACAAGCTGATAGGTGATTCACGTGGTTTTCAAGGTACTCATTTACTGCCCCAGCCAAAATTCATGATCATGTGCGTTTCGTTTGCGTTGGCAACGTTGACCGCTGTAAAGGAGCCAGCGAGGTTCGCATGCATGTGCGACCTTCAATCAGTGACTGGCCGGTCTGCTTTGTTTCGCCTACGCGCTGTCGACGCCGTGTGACTAGCGATTTGGTCTAACCCCGATGCTGATTGGTTGTCTGAGAATCGTAGACTATTGCCCCGTCACTGATCCTGATGAGTCAGCCAATGAGGTCTGACGCGCCGGCGTGACAAACAAGCGTCGGCAACCTGAAGACCGTCAAGGTTGAGATGACGAGAAGCATGTGACCGTCGACCTTGCACATGATTGGTCCATTGGACAACACAAGAACGAGCATGTTTTCTGCATCACGGCCTGAGCGATAACGCGAACGCGTTGTCGTTTGCATGGCATGGCAACTGCATGATTTGGGACCTGGATTCCGTCTGTCAGTCTCATCTTCCATGGTCGTGCTGTAAATATGCAGCCAACACATAAGCATCTGTTCGTTGATTGGTTTCAGAATAGATCGGAAGTCAAGCAATTCATTGCACATCGACTGTTTGCTATTTTCGCTTTAGTCTGCTCATAATTGGGTTTTAAAACTAACAAATTTTGAAAACGCTATCTCCTGCAGTTGTTGACTCGGGTCAACTGCTAGCATACAACCTGCCCGTTGGCGTTAGAAAATTAAAATGAGAGCGAAACTGGTCTCACTTCACCCCTTCGGCGAAAACTGTTATCTTTTTTCTATTCAATTTACTTCCCTTTATTGCATACTCAAAGATACTATTTTCAGGAAGGGGGAAGCGGCCAATCAAAGGGCTGTCATACAACACACAAATGGGGAAAGTCAGGTGGTGGTGCTGGTGGAATTCGAACACCCCCGGGAGTGACAATTTGGTGACCTTACCACCGGGCCACCACCGTCCATCATATTAACTTTTCATCATTTTCTTACATATACGGACTTGTGAATTGTAGGATTGCAAACATGTTCGCCTCCTATCTTTGTTCTGATAGCATCAAGCATTTCCCTCTGCTTTCATTTCGTCTATCTGACCTGTCTCAATCTCATCCTACAGATTGTTCTGCGGTGAACACCGTGATCTCTCTCAAACTAATGGCCCCGGCTACTACCAGTGGCCATTCTGCTCTTATCCATCGCTTTTTAAATGTACCAACCTGATTGCTGAAATGATTGAATCAACCTCTCACTTGTGTTGCTCGATGAAAACCCTGTTTGTATGTAACGGTAGAGTCACTTCAAACGTTTTGAAGTCACTGATAAAGTACAAAGAAAGGGTTTACAAATCTCGTCATGCATCGGTTGTAAAGCACTGGTCTGACTCAATTAAACCTGAATACAATCTTCGTCGCCCAGCTTTTGCGATCAATGAACGGCAGGTTTTCATGGCCTGCTCTGTGAGTCAGAAAAATAAATACTCGAAAATACTCAGCACCACTATTAAAATGGGAGTGCAATAAGCACGATCCAGTGCCTATTTCTAATGATGGAATCAATAGATTCCGGTCCTCCAAAGTGTCGTCAGCTACAGGCTCTACTGGTCCCCCTCCGACGCTTCTCAGATATGGAGTAGCTTCCCTAACTAACATGGTCATATCTCTCGTCGATTCTCCCGATCGATTCTTGATTTTTGGCGTCAAGTTAACATTATTCCAGTCCTCGTCCTCAAGTGTTTGTTCAAAATTATTTCTTCCTATCACGCTGAACTCTGTAGCTTTCGGGTCGGTTTTAGGGTCGTCGTCGTAATTTATAACCCCTGTGACCGTTCATGTACATTATATGATATGACAACGTGATTCACATGGAAGTGGTACCATAAAGGGCTCATGCAGCTCCGGTTTTACTCATTACACTGAAACTTGGTGATTGAACTGCTCATTTCTGTCAGTGCCCTAGCAACTTAGCCTCTCTTGGACGTTGAATTTATATTGTACACCGCGACGGAATTTTTGCTTGCGGTCAAGGAAGTAAGAAAAATTCTCCACCTCCATTCGGAGAAATGGCATGATAATCTCTCACAAGCTCTGTAGGTGTTTGTGTCGTAGTGGTTTAGTTTTTTCTGTATCCTTTCAAGTCAAAGAATCACTTTATACACCTCAAAGGGTGCATATTGAGCAACCACGTAATCACAGTGTCAACAATAAAAAAACGAAATGTAGTACAGCAATTGAAAGAGGTGAAACGCATTACAACATCAAAAAATACTGACATGTTTATGATTGTTTTATTTTAGCATTTTGTGCAAATTTTCTGCTATGAGTTCATGGTTTGTAAGAAATCTGGTGATACGCTGTACAACAGAGCACCTATGAGCGTCAGTGCTTGTCTTTATAAGTGACGGTGTACGAAAGAATTCGCATTGTAGTACACTTTCAGTAAAGCCATCTTTGATGACTGAACCATGCACAATACTGATCAGATCATGACAGTGTTCCCGAGTCCGCCTATCACACCGCACCGTGATCGCGCTACGTAAATGGTACCCTGGTCATAAAAGTACATACCTAAGCCAGTTTCTCTACGATCACATCAGTCCACATCACGGGACTGAGGAAAGCTCAAAATGTGCTTTCATGCATGTTTAGGCCTTGGTCATATTGTCAAGGTCCTTACTGGGATATGTACAAACCCGACAGTACGTTACTACAATCGATCGGGTAACGGTGTAAAAGGATGGATCGTTAGCTTAAAATGGGCGCAAGAGCTTGAGCGTGTACCACCTTGGTCTTATCACATAATTTTACCACTTTTGCCTGATCTATTCCAACCGTGATTAATTTCGGCACGGTTACAGGTATCTCGATCGCCTGAATGCGTGCTCAGGCTTAATCGGTTTTGCTACTGAAGCGTGTATTCAGACCCCTTCGTATTTCAGTCAGTCACCTAATCACCCCCCCTCGCACACACACACACACACACACACACACACACACTTGTATCTGACACCGAATCAGCTGGCGGCAAAACCGAGACCAAATGCGAGCCAATCGGCGGACTTTATACACTGAGAGAAAACCCCAGAATTACCCGGAATGATTGTTTTGCCCTGTGTTGCTGAGACCACATCAGGTCGAAGCAGCTGTCTACTGCTTCTCAGATTTTCATTTCCAGCTTCCTCCACTCTGTACACGGCGAAATTCACCTTATAATTTTGACAAGGCTTATTTCTCTGCATGCATAATTTTATTGCACGCTGACGGTCAGAAGGTGAACATGGAAAACACATTAACTCCACGCAGTAACACACACACACAGTATTTGACCTCGGGGAATTCGATAACATGATAGAATTCAAATGCTTCATTTTGTTCGCACCACTTGTTGTCTCAAACGTTATTCTTACTTATACACTTGTATTGCTCTTGCTGAGGCATCTGTTGTCAATTAGTTTACTGAAGTCGCGGTGACACACCAACAGACCGAACAGAACGATGCGGGGTTGAAACAGTGAACCACCAGTTCTCGAAGTGTGTCTCGCATTTGTTGAACTGCCTAATTTGATCTGGTGCAGGGGGGCGATGGTTCTTTCACCGATGTCGATGGTATCCGGGTGGTAGTAAAGACAATGACTATATCAGAAACCGGCTTGACAGCAGAGTTCAACCGTTTGCTGACTAGTTCACTCACGTTATCGCCTTTGTATGCTAACTTCAAAAAAAGTTTCATTTTGGGGACTGTTATTGGGTTTTCTACTCCTTTGAACATCAAACGTTAAATTTTCGTTCCTCAGATAAGGATATCGACAGATAGATGGGGTAGTCATGGGTAGTCCGTTGGACCGATTCTTGCGGATGATTTTCTTGGTCACCTAGAAGAAAGGCGATGACGAGACTGAACTATACCTTTTTCATGTCAAGTTGTCCCAGTATCATATCATGCTGTCCGGGAATCATTTCAAACTGTCCCCGGATTATTTCAAGCTGTCACATTGACCACACCGGTGCTGAGACGCCTTCCAGCGCGTTCTGGTTGACTACCACGCAACTCCGATTTCTCTACCTCCCGCTAAAGTGCGGGGGTCGGTTGTGGGATGGGCTTCGGTCAGTCACGCCTCAATTCCCATGAAATGCATATCGATCGTGTATCGTGCTAGTGCGCGTACACCTCTGTATGTGTATTGTGTGTTTGTCCCCCTCCGCTGATACCAGTGAATCATGCGCGATCAACACTCGAGCCAATACATTGCGATTGCTCCATCGTCTCGTCCCTCTCATCCGTGACCTTAAACTATAGTACATTCCTTCTTACCCTTTCTGTCATCTGATCATATTCCGCGATCTGTGGCACTTAAACCTCCTCACCCAAACACGATACTGGCTGATTACCGAATTGTACGTTTTGTAATGCTGTTGTTGTTACGCCCAGTCCATCCGAGTGCTGATGGCATACCTGCTACGCAGTCGAAGTTCACTGGGCCTGCCTGAGACTCACGACTGTAAAAAAGGTGTGGGTTCTCGCTCGGAGTTTGTCCGCAGGAGTACGGTAATTGTATGCGACAACGCACCTTGTCATTCCGGCTTGGAGGCGGTGCTTGATGAGCCTGTATATTCCGGTACTATATTGCTGCACCTTGCGCCTTATTCTCCAGCACTAAACCCAATCGAAGGTGTCTGGAGTGTGGTCAAGCATTGTATGAAGCAAAGTATGCATCAGCAATACGGGGCCATTCTTGCAGAGGATCCATCTGGCGCCTTGTCTACGAGAGAATGGTGAATGCAGTGCATGGAGAAATGTGCTCAAACTACCAAGATGTCAGTAAACCCGAATATTTGTTCAATTATGATTCGACATGTATCCATAATTTACTCGAAAGTTCTCAAGTATGCGGATATTTAAATAAAATATTATCATTTTTCATCAGGAAATTCTCCTTTTTCCGCACGATAATTTGGA